CGTCTCTATCGTCTCAGCCACTGCCTGACTCTGTAAGGGCTTTGCCAGGTTCTTAGCCTCCCGTCTTCTACTGGTCTTCCGTTACAGCCTGGCTCACTGCTGCCTGCTCCTTCTCCTTACACTGAGCAGACAGGAGGTCTTGCTGAGCATCGTGAGCCTGCGTCGCGTCCTGTCTCGCCTGTTCGCACTGGTCGTCGTGTTCCTCGTGAGCGTCCGCCTGCTGTTCCCGGCACGCACCTCATGGTGGTACTACGTCCTTCCTCTGTTCCACAGCGTGTTCCTCTGCCGTCTCCTCCTGCGTCCTCTCTGCCTGACGTTCCAGACCCTGAGTCTGACCGGTTTCGTGCTGCACACCCTACTGTCACGCGTCTGTTAGCCACTGTTGTCACTGACCCGTCGTTTGAGTCTACTACTGCGTCTGCCTTAGTCGCTGAGCTTATTGACTTTGCTGCTGCCTGTCGTCTCGACTACGCCGCTAGTCTTGTTGCCGAGTCTGAGTCTCTCTGTCCTCCGTCCGTCGGGGGTAAGTGTGCTCTTGGCACGGACGTCCTTGAGGACAGGCAGGAGGACCTTGAGTGTCTTGCAACCGCTGCGCCTCATCTCGTGGCCATGCTGCTTGCCCCTGAGGGAGACCCGGATGCACCAGACATCCCGACCCTGCGCTCTTACGCTGAGGCAATCGCGGGTGAGTACTCCTCTCAGTGGCAGACAGCCATGGACGCAGAGATGGCATCCTGTGAGTCCACAGGCACTTACGTCGATAAGGTTCCCCCTCCTGGGGCGAACATCGTCGATGACATGTGGATTTTCAGGGTGAAGCGGCCGCCGGGTTCTCCGCCTGTCTTCAAGGCTCGTTACGTTGCTAGAGGCTTCAGTCTGTCCGAAAATATTAGTTATATTTTCTATATGTAACAGCCTGTAGGATTGGGTACTGTAGTTATAGCCTTTCTAGTTGGTGGTGCACCATTCTTGCTTGTGCTTGCTTATTTGTACTGTTTGCTCTATAGTGAACTCCCTCTTTTGTTGGTCCAAGTCTCTCTCGCTACTCTCGCTTTGGTCAAACCCTAGCCATGACGCCTAAGCTTAATCTACTATTTTAACATGGTATCAGAGCTTAACGTTCCTGGCCTGTGGGCCCACTTCACTGCTTCCGCTGCTACTGCTACTCCCTGTCCGCCGCGCGCCCCGTGGTGCGCGGCGTCGAAACTAGGGTTTTCAGCCCGCCGTGCGCCCCGAGGCGCGCGGCGGTTTTCTGCCCGCCGTGCGCCCCGAGGCGCGCGGCGGTTCTCTGCCCGCCGTGTGCCCCGAGGCGCGCGACGGGTTCCTGCCCCGTCACTCGGCACGTCGCCCCCGGGAGGCGCTGCGACGGGCGACGGGGACCCGCGCGTCGCCCCCCGTCGCCCGTCGTGGCCTGCACGCGGCCCGTACACCCGGCACGCGGCCCGTACGGGCTGCGCCAGGCCTGCGCGCGGCCCGTACGGGCTGCGCCAGGCCCGCGCGCGGCCCGTACGGGCTGCGCCAGGCCCGCGCGCGGCCCGTACGGGCTGCGCCAGGCCCGCGCGCGGCCCGTACGGGCTGCGCCAGGCACGCGCGCGGCCCGTACGGGCTGCGCCAGGCCCGCGCGCGGCTCGGACCGCCTGCGCGCGGTTCGGGAGGCGGTGCCAGGCCCGTGGGCGGCCCGTTCTTCGCTTCCCCTGTCCTCCCCGCTGTCCCCCGTGCTTCTGAAGGCGCCCCACCCCTCCTTCTGCCCGTTCTCCTGGATTAGGGTTTGGGGTGGGGGGTATGGGGGTGCAGCTTCAGTGTGCCGTTCCCTGCTCCTCCTCCTCCCTCGTCTCCCTCTGCTACAGCTGCCGCTGAGGGGGGTGGTGTGTGGGAGCCTAGGGTTTGGGGTCTAAGGGGGGTACCGTCGGAGTGGAGCTAGGGTTCCAGCAGGGGGTGTGTGAGAGGGGGGTGGGACAGTCGGGGGAGGTTGAGCGGAGGCTGCCGTCTTGTCGTCAGCAGCACCTGTAGTCCGGGGCGCTTGTTCCGGTAGCCCAGTCGTAGCCAGCTGCGCCAGTCGCCCGTGGGTCCGTTGCTCGTCTGCCGCTCTTCTTAGCCGCGGAGCCAGTTACTCCTGTAGTCCGGGGCGCTTGTTCCGGTAGCCACTGAGCCAGTTTGACTCCTGTTGCCCGTGTGTCTGCAGCTTCAGCCGACGCCTCTTATCTCCTCTCCACCTACAGTCTCGCCTCCTCCTCCTCACTTGCCCCTTTTGTGACTGCCTCTAGCTTTGCTCATAATTGTGCACCTTAAACTATTGCTTCTTGCTTGTGCTCAGAATGTGTGGTGACATCGTGATCCACCCTGAGCTTGTACTGCTTTGTTTCCTCTGCTGATTACACCCCACTTTGGCTATGGGGGTGTGTCAGAATATTATGTTCTAGCCTGTAGTGGGGTGCTCTGTAGCGAGTACAACCCTTCTAGGGTTTGCTATTTGTATCCCCATTCTTGCTAGTTCAGCCCCCTCTTTTGCCTTCATTCTCTCTTGCCTAGCTAGGTCAACCCTAGCTATGGCTCCTCAGTATACCTATTATCACGACATGGTATCGAGCTAGTTTTCGATCAATGGGCCCACCAAATTTCGACCCTGTCATGGCGGCCCTTCTTCCCAACGATTTTCTGCTGCTATCGTGCCGTCAATGCGACCGTCGCGTTGAAATCCGCGACGGTCTTGATCGTCAGCGTGATCGACGGGGCGAAGGCGGCGCTCTGCTCGTCGCGCTGCCTCGTCGCCCTGTCGTTCGCGGCCACGCTGCCCCGTCGCCGCTTCGTCGCGCCTCCGTTACGGCCCTCTGTCCCGCTCGTCGCGCCCGAGAAATTGTCCCCTCCCACCCGCCCGCCGGTCCCGCTGCAGCTGTCGCACTTGCTGCTGCCGTGCGCGCTCCTGCTGTGGGGGGAGGTCGTGGGCATGGCGGACAGTGGTGGAGGTGGTGTGATGGGGTGGCCGCTGTGAGCTGCCAGCAGCACCCCCCGTCGTGAACCCTTTATCGCCCCATACGCGACTGTCGCTGTGGGGGGGAGGGTGTGGGCGTGGCGGGAGGGTACCCACAGGAATCGGCCGACGCCCTATACTCTCCTCTCTCTCCCTGCAGCGTCCGTCGCTATGGGGGATGGGGGGGAGTGTGAGGGGGTGGCCAGAGAGATTTTGCTGCACCAACAGCCGTCCCCCCTCTTCTCTCTCTCACTGCCGCGCGTGCAGCTGTGGGGGGGAGGGTGAGAGAGGGTGGCGGAAGTGAGCCAGGCATCTGCTGCTGCCGCCTGCTGCTTTCGTGGCACCTCCAGCTGCTGCCCCTGCCGCAACCTGCCCTTGCTTCTGGTGTGTGCTGCTGTGGCCTGCAGGTGCTGCCGTCGAGCCGCTGCTGTCCTGCTGCTTGTTGCAGCCACAGAGCCTGCTCCTCAGGCGACCTGCCGCCACTTGCTCCTGTTTCTGCTTCTGCTATGGCTGAGGGTTTGATGCAGCTGAATCTGCCACCACTGCACTGGTTGCGACTGCACTTGCTTGCTGCTGCAATTTCCGCTGCGCACTGTTGGTGTACCCCTTCAGAGGGCGTTTACTGCATATTCCTATCCTACAGGCAGTTATGGGGGAGTGTCCGAAAATATTAGTTATATTTTCTATATGTAACAGCCTGTAGGATTGGGTACTGTAGTTATAGCCTTTCTAGTTGGTGGTGCACCATTCTTGCTTGTGCTTGCTTATTTGTACTGTTTGCTCTATAGTGAACTCCCTCTTTTGTTGGTCCAAGTCTCTCTCGCTACTCTCGCTTTGGTCAAACCCTAGCCATGACGCCTAAGCTTAATCTACTATTTTAACACAGTCAGCACGAGGAAGTTGACTTCTTCCAGACCTTCTCCCCCACCCTGAAGATGACCACTCTTCGGGTGCTGCTGCACGTTGCCGCTCAGCGTGACCACGAGCTTCACTCTCTTGACTTCAGCACAGCCTTCTTACATGGCAGCCTGCACGAGGAGATCTGGCTGCGCCACCCACCTGGCTTTACTGGGTCGTTCCCTCCTGGTACCAATTTGTTTCGCGCAGTACTGGTTCATGTTCACCCTAAACCCTAAACCCTGGGTTGTTTCGCGCGACCAATTTGTTGCGCAGTACTGGTTCATGTGCATGTAAAAAACCTGTGTTTATAAATAAATCGCTCGAAGCACCAAGTCTGATCCAAGGTCGGCTTGATCGGGGCCCGTAGGAACACGCTCTTAAGGTTTTTCTTTTTCGCTTATAAGAGTACGAGTAACTGTAAGTGGATTCCGTATACCCATATTCATATTCCATTTCAGGCCACAACCTTGCTACAAGACCAGGCCCCAAATTTCAAGGGTAAAATACCCTTTTTGCCCTGATGGTAGGCCGCTTTTTCCCAGTTACCCTTGCAAAAACAGGGTATCAAATTTATTACCCTAGAGCAAACAGGCTAAGATTTGATTTACACTGATAACGATTTCTGTTACCCTGCCGATATCAGGGTGCACTGTATACTTCACAGATACCGAATCCTCTTAGCGAGAGTTTTCCTTGCGAAGCTGCGAAAAAATTTTGTGCACCAGCCAGATTCGAACCTGCGACCTTCGGAATTCTAGCCTCACATCTGACTAACTGAGACATGTTCTGGTGGAGTCTTGCTCTAAGAAGTGCATATAAAAAGCATTATATTCTTTTAAAATCAGTTTACATGTCTTTTTAGGCTGTTTTTGGCAGGGTACGAAATATTTTACCCTAACAGTCAGGGTACTGGGGGCCTGGAACCCTGATTTGAAAGAGTGGACCTAAACCTATTTTGGGCCCTGTACAAGACAGGCCGAACTAGCTTCAAGAAGAAAGTCTGAAATCAGAAGAATTAGCATCACTATGCAGACACCTGGGGGCCTACACCGACACGAGTATGTGTGCTGTCGAGCTTGAAGGCTAGCTGACAACGCATGTCCTTTTTGTACAAATATCTCTTCCTATGTAGTCACGTACCGGTAGAAGATGCAGTTGCTCCCTCACTTGGCTTCAAGACAAACGTTGAGAGCAAGGGACAGCCCTTCCACAGGAGCAGCGCTGCGCCGTGCCTCAACTGGACGTCAAGGCCGTCGCTGCTGCTGTGGACGGCACTCGCCATGTCGCTGCTGGTGAGCACGTCCGCACTGATGGGCACCACATCAAAGCCCAGGCGCATGGCACGCGCGTGCCACGCGTGCAGGGGCTCGGGGCGCATGCGGCGGTGGATGCCCTCGCAGGCCACGATGTTGCTGATGCCCGCCCCCAGCACCTGCGCCTCCAGCACCCCTCGCTGCGCCTGTGACGCCGGGCAGGTGGGCGCGTGCAGGCAGTCAAACCATGCAGAGTAGTGCTCCAAGGCTTCTCGGAAGCGGCTGAGGAAGAAGGGCGAGTTGAGCCCCACCTCCTGCTCCGTCACTGTCACCAGTAGTGGCCGCAGAGAGTGGATGGCCTGCACATGCCACATGCGAAAAGCCACATGCCACACCCAACATGCACACGCACATGCCACATGCCACATGCCAAACACTATGTGCACATGCCACATGCACACACTATGTGCACATGCCACATGCCACACACTATGTGCACATGCCACATGCCATACAGCCACATGCACATTCCAGCAAGTGAGCGTACGGCCGCAGATATCGTGGGCCCACCAAGCATTGAAGCTGGCATACGAACAGCTGTGCAGGGGAAGGATAAAGACAGTATCCAAGCCCTGCCAGTTGATACCCAATCATCCCTGCAATCTTTCTGTAACCCACTGGACCTAGAGCAGGCGAGGAAGGCGCAAGGCGGCACACCTGGAGCAGAGAGTCGCGGGGGTTGGCTCGGATGACAGAGGCATCGCACAGCTGCTGCAGCAGCAGGGCTGCGCGCACCAGCAGCACCTCCCCCTCCTGCACGCCCAGCGCCTCGCGTGTCACCCCCTGCATGCCCACCTGCACTGCACGCACACTCACATGCATGCCTAACTCACGCGCCGCCGCCTGTACCTGCTGCACCAGCACAGGTGCAGGTGCATGGTTGGGGTGAGATAATGTGGTGGAGGGTGCAGGTGTGTGTGGCAGGTGCACAGAGGAAGGTGGATGGAGTGCAGGAGAGGGAGCAGCATAAGCAGGTGCAGGCAGCACGCAGCACTGTGGTGTTGCAGCTGGAGGGGCCTCAGCAGGGGCAGTGGCAGCAGAAGGGGCAGTGCTACTGGGTGTGGGTGGTGATTCTTGGAGTGGTGGTGAGGGCTGATGGGAATGGGTATCCACATGGTATCGCTGTGCACTGCTGCAGTCATCCAAGTGGCCCGCCTCACCGTGCGCTGCTGCCATGGCAAGCCCATGCCCTGCAGCTCCGTCTGCTCCTTGGTCGCCAGCACCACGCAGAGCAGCAGCATGAGGGTCCCCGGGTGGTGCAGGTGCAGGCAGCACGGGGTGTGCAGCCCCATGAGGCGCGGGTCCACGTGCACCAGCATCCACTGCACCACAGCTGCTGCCAGCGAGGCCAGGGCCAAGGCCTTGACTGTTGTGAGCCAGCGCGCATACGTGTTCCGCACAGGATGTGGCAGGTGCAGCAGCAGGGCGGGCACATGCAGGAGAGTTCATGTCAGCGCTGCTGCCGTGGTGTGGAGGCGGCAAGGGGGGTGTGCAGGGCTGGGCGGGGTGGGCATGGAGCAGGTGCACGAGAGTGAGGCGCAGCGACACGGGGCGCTGCTGCGGCGCACGGGCAGCGAGTGCGGCGAGCAGGGCATGGCAGTGCGCGGCGTGGTGCTGGCCCAGGTCCACCACGTGCACTGCCAGGGGGGCACACGGCGCACGCGGTGACGGCGCGTGCACGCTCATGTGCACGCCATGTGAATGGGATGCTGGGTCAGTTGCTCCCCAGCCCAGCTTCTCCGTGCCACACAAGCTGCTTCCTCCACAGCCCCTCGCACTGCCTTCATCCCCGATAATGCCCCCCTCCCTCCCTGTTCCCTCACCTTCCTCGTCCTCACCAACAGATTTCGCCCTTCCTTCCTCCTCCCACCTCTCAGCTTTCTGCTTCCCTGCAAGTCTCTCCTCGCCCTCCTCCGTGCTGCTCCCCTGCCTCTCCTGCTCATGCTGCAACGCCGTTCCCTGCACGGTTCCTTTTCTCTCCACACGCCGCTGTCCCTCACGCACTGTCATTCCCATCCGCACACTGTCAGCGGCAGCAGCACCGGCAGCGAGGTGGGCAGCGGGGGCGTGTGGGTGCGCATGGGGGTGTGTGAGGGCGGGCGTGAGGGCGAGGTGCAGGGCATGGGTGGCGGAGCAGGAGAGGAAGTGGCGCAGCGGCGTGGCGGCGAGCACAGGCGCGAGGGCGTCGTCCACCTCCTGCACGCCCGCACCGTGCGCAGGGACAGCACGCGGCACACGCAGGGAGGGGCGTCCACGGGGAGAGGGACAAGGCAGTCCGGAAAGGGTGAGACGCATGGCACAGGAGACAATGTGTGCAGGAGAGGTGGTGCAGTGGTGACATGTGAGGCGAGAAGGCAAATGGTTGCCCGTCCAGCAGCAGCAAGCAGCAGCGCTGATGCCATGCAGCACGGCAGTGGGGGCGCGCAGGGAGGGCGAGAGTGTGCAGTGCAGTGCACGCAGCCAAGGGACTGGCAGGCCAAGCTGCCTGTGGAAGAGTGAGAGGTGCCGCCCTGTGCATGCACGCATGCACGCACCTGCGGCATGGAGGGTGTGTGCAGCAGGTGTGCGGTGGCGGTGGCTCTGGCGGAGAGCGCGCGCACGAAGTAGAAGGCGGTGCGCTGCATGGGCGAGCCCACGGGGTCCACTTCCTGCCACACGTGCTGCAGTAGAAAGCGCGCCCGCATCTGCTCCCCGCCACCACGGGCACGGCGGATGGGCAGCGGGAGGCGGGAAGGTCGTGAGGAGTGGAAGGCGGGGAGATGGTGGAAGGAAGGTAAGGGGCAATGATAGCACACGTGGTGAGAGAGGTAGACAAGGCAGTGCGGTGGCTCACATCATCATGCGTGGCAATGGCTTCGGCCAGTGAGAGCAGTTGCTTCTTCAACAGCTGCACCAATATGCTCTCCTCTGCTGCCTTCCCCACTGCTTCCTCTGCTGCTGCCTCCTCCACTTGCCCTCGCATCACCTCATGCTGCCCCTTCGCCTGCACTTGCGCTCCCGGATCCCCCTCACTTTTCCTGCACCCTGCACCAGCACCACCACCTTCCATGCCTTCCTGTGCATGATTATCATCAGCAGCAGCACCGTGTGCCATGCCGCCATGCTGCATGTGAGCATCGTCACCACCTGCCACGCACATCATCTCCCCCACTGTGCCGCACCTCTCCACTTTCCCTGCCCTGTCCTCATGACATGCCCCTTCTGCCCTTCTTTCCCCCCGCCCCACGCCCTCTGCCTGCACGCCCTCTCTCTCCTTGCGCTTGCCACCATGCCTATCCACCCTACCCCTGCACCCGCCATGCGCCCCTTCTCGCCACACAGCGCCTGCATGCGCCAGCCCTAGTCCGCCAGCAGCCCCCACAGGGTAGCGCTCCAGTGTGCCGTGCACGGTGCTGCTGCCGTGCAGGGGGTGCGACAGGTAGCGCGTGGCAAAGCCTCCTGCGCTGCCCACCGTCACCAGCGCGCCTGCCCCCAGCACCTGGGGCGCCACACGCCCCTCCGCCTTGCCCCACTGCTGCACCCACACGCCCTCGCTCGCCCTCGCGGCTGCGGCATTACCCTGCCCTGTGCTCTGCAGCGCCGCACCACCTGCACGCGCACAACCACTGGGGCGTGTCTCGCCACCCGCCACACCTGCTGCTGCACACCGCACACGCACAGGCAGGGTGGCAGCAGTCGTAGCAGGTGCAGGCACGGGAGGCTGTGGCGCTGCCATGCACTCAGCATCGCCCGTACGACCAACCGCCGGCGCCGCCTCCTCCCGCACTGCCGTGTCACCTCTGCTGCTGTGCGCGGCTCCTGTGGTGCGCGGCAGTGCTGCATGCAGGACCGTGTGGGGCGGCGCTGCCCACGTGTGTAGCGCAGGGCGAGGCCGCGCCCTGGGGGAGAGCACCCGCACACTGCCCTGCCTGCTGCCTGCACCTCCTTGCTCCTGCGCCTCCCCTTCTCCTACCTTTCCTTCTCCTGCTTCGCCCTCGGTTTCTCCCGGTGCTTGTACGTGGTGCCATGGGCCATCCCCGTGTGCCACCATGGCTGCACCCTCGCCCCCTCGCCGCGCTGTCGAGGGGGTCGCCCTCCCATGGACCGCCGCACCTCCCTCGCGCGCCTCCTCCGCGCCTGCAACTGCGTCTGCCCCTCGTCTACCCGCGTGCGTCCCCCTGCCGCCCCTTTCGCCCGCCGCGCTCGTCCGCGCCAACCCCACGGCATCAAGCATGGCGTGCGCTGGGCCAGCGCGGCAGGGGGCGGGCGGAGGGGGAGCAGGCGGTGGGGGCGGCGTGGCCAGGGCGTGCAACGGGAGGTGCGAGGGCGCGGCGGAGCAACCGGCGGTAGCTGCAGCGGCGAGCGAGTGCGTGTGCGGTTGACGGGTGGCTGAGGCGAGTGTGACAGTGGGGGAGGCGAGAGGGGATGATTGTTGGGCGGGTGTAAGTGCGAGGACGGTGTGGTCGACCTGGTGCGCTGGCGGGGCGACGCCGCGATGAGCGGGCGTGGAAGCGGGCGCGCGTGGCAGCAGCGGCGAGCTCGCACTACCGGGCGCGGCGTTGGGTACGCCAGGCGTGACCGTGGCGGGGAACGCTATGGCGGGGAGGTTCGACGCGAGCAGCGCGCCAAGCTGAGCGCGCGGCACGGCAACAGCTGGCCAAACGGGCGGAAGGCGCGAGGGGACGGCGGTGGACCGCACGGGGGGTAAAGACCCGGGGGGACGCGCGGTCGAAGGCGGCTCCCCAGTTGTTTCGGCGCTTCTAGCGGCGGCAAGGGCGGGCGAGGTGGAGCAGGCAAAGCCGTTTAAGTTGGATTCACCTCGCGAGGCAATCTGCAGCGTACCTGGCAGCGGCAGCGCCGCAGCGTCGGGCACGGCGAGCGCGTTGAGATTGAAGCCGGCTGACGGCGCCGGCGCGGAGCGCCCCATTGCCTCCGCCGCCGATGCGGCTGTCGGACTCGCCGCCATCGAGGGGGGATGGAAGCCGAAAGGACCCGCCCACCTACTCCCAATCTGAACGGCGCTAGAGGAGAAGCGGCGAGTAGCGGGTACCGAAAGTACCCTTTTTTCAGGGCCGTACTCAGGTTTAAATAGACTGCTCTTGACCCTACCGAGCCACGCTGAGCCGCATTCGGAGGTACTACCGTATGAAAGCACGCCCTAAGCGGTGCGATAGCGTTTTTAAAAGGGTTGATGGTCGACCAGCAGAGAAGCGATTGTGTAGGTGCAAAGCTGACAAAAGTTGCCACTTCCCCTCTATTGGGAGTGTAGAACAGGTGGTGTTTTAGCTCTGAAAGATAAGAGTGCGCACAAATCAATAACGCGGAAGTGATTACAACTACTGAGCAAACGACGAGGTCTAGGCATAATATAGCGAAGCTAGCTAGGCCGAGGTCGCGGAGTCGCGCGAAGGTTGGGTGCAGGTTTGGGGTTGGGAAACCCGAAGGCGACGCGTTGGTGGCTCGGAAGGCGAGGTCGTTAGACCGAGCCAGCAGTCCGAAAGTTTGAATTGTATGCGCACAGAGTGCCTCAGTAAGGAATCAGGCAAAATTCCTTACACTACCCCCCCTCCCCCCCCCCCAAAGAAAGGTGGCCAATATCAGGCACGCGGCGGCGGGAGAGATAATTCCGTAGTATCGAGTGACCTTGCAGTGAGTCCGCCGAGACCCACGTGTTGTCCCCGCTTGTGCGATCCACCCAGCGTAAAAGGAAGTCTACATGGTGTCGTGCTGGCGTCTGAAGATCTTTCAAGGCCGCATTGTCGGGTCTGCTATCGGTCGGACACTTGGCGTGAGGTTGGGGCGGGCGGTGTCTGACGACTTCGGGGCCACGTGGTGGCGGAGGAGTCTGAAGTCGAAAGCGTCGTGGATTTTCCAGTCGTCAGGTAGCAACAGTTTCGTCGTGACCGGGGTCAACATCCGAATGATGAAGGATCTCACGTAGCGGGGACGCAGTTTCGCGGGTTGGGGCAAACGAAGGTTCTTGGTGTCCAGTAGGACCATTGCCCGTCGAAAGGGTAAGTTATGTCGATGCCTGTCAGCATAGCGGCTAGCAACATTGTTTGCCTTCCGAATAAACTCTGCTGCTTTGTCGCGCGCCGCTTGAAGTTCCAAGACGAACTGATGCGATCGTGGTACCGGGTTGTCAGAGGTCGTTGAAGAGGGTACCACACGATATGTCCCGTAATTGAGGTAGAACGGCGATTGATTAGTTGTCGCGGACGGTGCGTTGTTGTACGCAAATTCCAACATGGGGAGCGAATCCTCCAACTTGGTGATGTTGGGGCAGTTCGTGCGAATCAACTGCTCCATTGTCTGGTTTGTCCTCTCTGTCTGTCCGTCGGTTTGCGGGTGGTACGACGACGAAAACTGCAGGCGAGTGCCGTACTGTGCCCACGCCTCCTGCCAGAACTTCGACGGTTGAGATGAAGAGCTTCGCTGTTTCTTCGGTGGTGATCGTCGTTCAGCATGGTGCGTAATGCACCATTTTCGTTAGTCGGTCAACGGCGACCAGTACCGAATCGTTGCAACTTGTGCCAACTGGCAGTCCGGTGACGAAATCCATTGTTACATGTTGCCATGGTCGTTCGGGTGGCTCAAGGGGCTGCAGCAACCCAGCCAGTCATTGGCGTGATGATTTCATTGCTTGGCAAGTCGGGCAGGCGGACATGTAGTGCTGCACGTCCTACGCCATGTCGGGCCAATAGTAATTCCGCTGCAGCAGCTTCAATGTTTTGTCAACGCCAAAATGCCTGGAGAGGTTAGAGTTGTGAACTTCCTGCGTCAGCAATTCTCGGTTCGTACCGACTCTTAGGTAATAGCTCCCATGTGCCGTGGTGACCCGTTGGTGTTGATTCTTCCTGAAGAATCGGTTGATCCTGTAGCCGTGCTTGAATAGTCTTGCTAATAAAGGGTTAGAATGGGCGATTAGCCTACTTCGGTCTGCATCGATAGGCGGATCAGGGCGTCGGCGATATTGTTGGCGCCCTTTTTGTACATGATGGTGTAGCGGAAGTTTGACTCGAGGTAGTCGAGCCACCTGATTTGTCGTGGGTTGAGCTGTGGTTGGCTATGCATGTACTGTAGCGATTTGTGATCTATCTGGATTGTGACGTCGGCTCCCGTGAGGTAACGGCGCCAGGAACGAAATGCATGCACAATGACGAGCATCTCTTTGGCGTGTACAGGGTAGTTGCGCTCGGGCGGTTGCATTTTCCGTGATTCATATGCGATTGGTTGCAGCCCGTTGCAGAAGTCTTGCAGTAGGACGGCGCCAACGGCGAAATCGCTGGCGTCCCTCAGGACTTCGAACGGTCGAGACGGAGCTGCCAGCCGAAGCACTGGGGGTGAACTCAAAATTTTCTTGAGTTCGTCGAAGGACAACTGCTCTCTCTCCCCCAAAACATTGTGCACCTTTGTGCAGAAAATCGGTTAACGGCTTGGTCACCCCCACCATATTCGGTACAAAATGGCGGACGTAGTTGACGAAGCCGAGGAAATTCTGCAACTCCGTAATGTTCGTGCAACTTCCACTCCAAAATTGCTGTCGCTTTGCGAGGGTCAATTTTAATACCCTCCCCAGAAACTACGTGCCCTAGGAACTCCAGCTTCGATTTTAAGAGCTCGCACTTAGAGCCCTTCATAATCAATCGGTTCTGCCGCAAGTGCCGGAACACCTCCTCTAAATCCTGTAAATGCTGCTCCCGAGTTCTTGTTGTACACCAGGATGTCGTCCAGGTAGACGATCACTTTTTTGTCTAGCATGTCCTGAAACACCCTGTTCATGGTGAGCTCGAAGGTCGAGGGCGCATTCGTCAACCCGAACGACATCACTGTATATATGTAACTGCCGTAGCGGGTGCGAAAGGCGGTCTTCGGGCAGTCGTAGGCGAATACGCGAATTTGATGGTAGCCACCTCGCAAATCGATTTTCGAGAAGAAGCGAGCCCCGCGAAGCTGGTCCAGCAGGTCGTCCGCTCGCTGAATTGGGTGACGCGACTTGATGGTGATCCAATTCAGCGCTCGATAGTCGATGCACAGGCGCAGGCCTCCGTCCTTCTTCGACGTGAATAGTATCGGGGCGGCGAATGGTGACGTGCTCGGCTGGATAAAACCCTTGAAAAGCAGATAATCCAGCTGTTTCCACAATTCGTCGAGCTCCGGTTGGCTGAGCCACCACTGAGTCCGAATAGTTGGTTGTGCTCATGGCTCCAACTTGATCCGGTGGTCTTCTGGTCGCAGAAGGTGGCAACCCGTCAGGCAGGTCATTCGCAAAAAATTCGGGATACCTCCCGAATTATGCTCGCCACGTCCCCTGGTACAGCAGTGCAGAGCGTGTCAATGTCGGCGACTTTTTTCGGACGCGACCACCTCGTACAGCTATACGGCGTAGCCTTGCGCTCCCCTCTTGATCGACCGTTTTAGCGTTATCGCGTTGACACGTATTGTCATCGGCTCCGGCCGTGACCATTTCGGAAGTGTCACGGCCCCTTGTTGCTTAGCACTACGATCGCTCCCATTGTCCAGTCAATCGTCGGATTGTATTGCTGCAGCCAATCGCGTCCCAACAACACATCGCAACCATCCAATATTGTCGCCAGCATCTTCATTGAAAACCCGAAATCGTCGCCACACTTCATCCGAATTTGTCGCACCTCGTCTTTGATCGCCAGCGGTGTTCCGTCAACTAGTCGCGCGTCAACCTCGGGCACACACCTGTCCAGCTTCACTCCGATTTTGTTGGCCGTTGCCAGGTTGACGAGACTTTGGCTCGCCCCACTGCCAACCAATATTTTTATTTTATATCCGTTAACCCTCCCCATGACCAGCGCGGGGTGATCCACGTGTTCATCAACTTTATTTGTTCGGTTGCGGACGATAGCCCGTATCGGTACCACCACTCGGTGTGGATGTTGATTGCCGGGTGACGGGGTTCATCAGTAGGTAGCCCGATTGCTACTGACTCGTCTCTTTTCCCGACGCCTCTCTGTCGTTCCTGTTACCCTATTTCAGCTTCGAGCAATCTTTCTTCTTGTGGCCCGGTTGGTTGCAGTTGAAGCACGTGTTTGGTGCACGTCTTGGCGCATCCACACCGTTAATTGTGGGCTGGCGAGGCGGTCCACAAAACTGTTTGCCCTCCCGGGAACTCAATCTCGCCCACTGCATCAGCGCGTCCGTTGATTCGGCCAGCTGGACGGCGTCGAGGAAATCGCGTGGCCTCGTTCGTCGCACCTCGTACAATATCTCGTACTTGAGGCCTGCGACGTATTTATCGAGTCGCTCCGCATCGCTCATATCGTCTACTTGATCGGCCAAGGCGCAGAACGTTGTTGAGTAGTCTTGGACTGATGTCACCTGCTTCCAGGCACGCAGCTTCATGCGAGCAAAATCCGAGGTGGATGCATGCTTGAATCTGGCTTGCAGCGCGGCGCCCCACTCCGTCCATGTGCGTATTGTGGCCACTCCGAAGATTGTAGTTGCTCGTTGCGTGACAGGTGTCCAGGTCCCGTTGTTCTCACGTGATAACCGCGCCGAAGTCCCCTCTGGTTGAAGCATGCGATGCCACCATTCCAACACCGGTCCTCGTAACAGTGACACTACAAAATTTATGCGAGTGGCATCGTCAACAATTTGCACAGCATTGAAGAAAACCTCCACAACAAACAACCACGCAGACGCAGTGACGGTTTTGTTGCTGGGGTTGAACGGGGGCAGGTTTGTCGGTTTTTTTCTAACAGTTGTTGAAACAGTTGCTACTGCATGCACTGGAGGCGCCATCGAAGCCATCGGCGGGATTGTCGCTGGCGCCTGTCGTGACATTGTCTGCGACTGTTGCCTCGGCGCTGCTTGTGCCTGTTGCTGCGGCTGTGACTGTTGCCCCGGCGTCCCTTGTGCCTGTTGCTGCCGTGCCGCCCACTCATCTTCAGCGTCCAGCGAGCCCTGTAGTTCGCTAAGGATGTTGTCGTTGGG